TCAATGGCCTCCGATATGGAGGAGTGTTACAGTCAGGACAAACATTGTCGCCTGCTGTTGGATCATTTTGGTGGACGAAAGGTTACCCTTTCGTCGCACCTTAAAGCGAAACTAAATCGCTTTAGTTACAGTGATGGCCGGTTATGGCATCAACTGTCACCCTGTGATCCCTTGAGAATCTATGTCCCTCATGACACAGATCTCAAGCTGATGATACTTCACGAGTGCCATGAAGCGCCATCTAGTGGGCATCTGGGCCGTGAAAAGACATTCTTACGAGTGTCAGTGGAATTTTGGTGGCCCCACCTATATCGGTGGGTGGCCAACTATATTCGCTCTTGCGAAGAGTGTCAGCGCATAAAGCCTGCACCTTCGAACAGTGCGCCATTGAAGCCACTGCCGATTCCAATGAATTGTTGGAAGTCAGTCAGTTTGGACTTCATGTTTGGCTTACCGACTGACCATAAAGGTAGGACGGGGCTCGCCGTCTTTGTCGACAGACTGAGCAAGATGATGCACTTGGCACCATGTAGCACCAAGATCTCAGGAAAAGAGGCTGCCTTCTTGTTTCTGGATCACGTGTATCGACTACACGGGATGCCCGAGTCCATAGTATCGGACCGGGATCCGCGTTTTACGTCGGGTTTTTGGCGACATGTGTTCGAGCTGCTGGGTAGCAAGCTCCACATGTCAACCGCTGACCATCCTCAGACCGATGGCCAAACAGAACAGGCCAATCGAGTCGTGGCGGATGTGTTGCGTACAATAGCGACTCCCAAAGAATGGAGCAAGCAATTGCCATTCGTGGAGTTCGCTATTGATAACAGTGTTCACGCCAGTACGGGTGAAACACCGTTTTACATTAACGGACTGCGTCATCCTCGAACGCCAGTATCGTTTGTGCGCAGCTCGAGTCTTCGTGGGGAGGGCCCCTCACTTCGCTCGGTGCAAATGCCAAAGAGGGCCAAGGTTGCCCTAGTGACACTGCTAATTTAGCAGTGTTCACGTCACCTATAGGTGTCACAGAGGAGGCACGGCAAGAAATGCCAGCGCTCCTTGATGATGACACTATAGTGTTATTAGCAGCGTCGACCCATGAACGACCTCTTGGAGGCGTCATCGGCGAGCTGGATACTAAAAGCGTGAGCGAAGCTCAGTGCTTTGTGGATGAGCGAGTAGCCATCACACGTAAAGTCCGTGACGCGATGGCAAGCGCACAGGACAAGCAAACACAATATGCATACCAGCATGGTCGCAAAAACAATGAACACTTAGTGTGGGGGACAAAGTGCTATGAAGTACTGCTACCCTACCTAACCATGCAATTTCTGTACTACCTGGCGGTACTACTAAGCTATTGCCCCGGTTCATTGGGCCCTTTACAGTGGTTGAAGAAGTTGGAGACCTAAATTATAGGCTCACTCTCCCACCGTATATGAAGACGCACCCCGTATTTTGCGTGGTTCGTCTGAAACGGTATGTTGATCCAGAAGAGATCACATATCCGCATCGGTCTAGCGAGACCGATGGTGACGCCGACTGTGAGTCGAGCGTCGCGACCGATCAGGCGACGAGGAAGCCGAGAGGCTCCCCGTGTATGAACGAGGCGATAGAGGACTCGGTGATCGAGGAGGACTCCGCGCTTGACGCGGGTCTCTCATCACCAGTCGCTCTAAGATGTCCAAGCGGGTCTTCAGGCGGTCATATCCAAAGTCAGTCGCGAGACTTGACTCTCGAGATCTGTCACCTGCCTCTTCAGCGCAGCAGACTCAGCCTGCGACTGAACAGCAGCAGGGTAGGCAGCCGCGAGTAGGTGGGCGTAATCGCCACTCCTATCGGGCGCCACCTGTGTTGGTGGACACGGAAGGGAATACGTGCTTCCTTGTTGGAAGGCTGTTGGCCCACCGGTTTGTCTAGCGAAAGCTCCAAATCCAGGTCCAGTGGAAGGGTTACCCAACGAGCTTTGACTCGTGGGAGCCTGTGGACGCTTTGCGCGTTGACGTGCCTGGGCTGGTGACTGCTTATGTGAAGCAGCACCAGCTGTCTTCTTTCTGCTAGGTCCGGAAGGAATAGCAGAAGAAGCGTGGCGAGAATCAATTGGGGGTCGCTTACCGCCCATAATTTCATGCGCAAGCTTCATGGCGAAGCTGATTCGCTGCGACCATTGTTTCGTTGCATCTACATGCAAGGTAACACGGCGCCGGAGCTCAGCTTCATATGCGTCGACTGTTTCGTTAGAACGCAGCACGACTGGAATTGGGAAAGCACGACCAAGTGCTTTGCCCTGCTTTTTCCACGAGGGAAAGACGCTATAAAACTTATGAGCGTCAATAGTTGCACGCTGCAAAAGCGCTGCACTAGACCCATCCGAGTTCGTCCACTCAGATGGAGGTGGCATTGGTGGCAAGCCACCACTCACGTAGCCGCCCTCGCGACGGCTTGCTAGTGAGGCCGAAGGTGTACTTGGTGGAGCTTTAAGCTCACACTCACCTGAGTCTGACTCTCCATTATGGATTGTCAAGACATCAGCTTGAGAAGTCGCATCTGACTGAGTCGCGACTAGTCCTGTCGAAGTAGCGCGCTCAGTCTTATTCGCTGCGCTCGTAGGCGCAGACGACGAGGCCTTACCTTCACTTGCAGGAAGCATAGAAGCTTCCTCACGGACGGGTGCCTCAAATGATGGGGAAATATGTCCCATCAACGCGCTTCGCTCATCGCCACTTTGGGGTGATGGCAATGGCGTGCTCTCATAGTAGTATACAATCAGAGATGGATCTTCATCCACATTATAGTGAGATAGAAGATTCGCCTCAGTGCCTGAAGCACTTTGCGACGGCTGCGAATACTCGCGGCGCGTGCGCTTAGTGCTGGACTGTATGGGCGCCTTTGCAGGCGACCCATCAGCCTTACCACGTTTCGGTGGCATGAGAATTGAGTAGACTAAGCGGGCGCGTTATATAACGGCTCGCAGTCTCTCTGTCTTCTAGGCGATGTTTTACAAAATGTAAAACTCGTTCTAAAACGGGGGATGGTGTAACAGGGTATCTAGTTACACGTAAACATTATGTAATATACTTAATGGTTGGTCTTAAAGTATCCATGATTACTTTTGACCTGTCACTTGGGTGCGATACACAAATGTGATCCACCCTCGTGAATGTGATATCCATTGATGGATTCACATGAGAAGGGATGATGCTAGTTGAAGCTAGGCATCGCGACGTCTCAGAAGGACGTCAGTTGCAATCTTAAATCTAGATTTAAGATCATGCGACAGGATACGCTTCTAAAGAGTCGCGTATCCGATCTATATATATATAGCCAATCAGTAGTTAAGTATATACTTAGTTATAATTAATTAAATATAGCTCAGTCTTGAATATACTTAAATCAAACGCACCACGCACGAGAAGTTGAAAAAGCTTCTGCGTGACGTCGGTGCTTTAGTTTTAAGAAGTTCGTTGCACTCTCGCTTGGGCGAGAGGCAACTGGTGGTACGACTGCTGAAGCAGTCGACCAACCTCCCAACCACCCTCGCACGCGAAGGTAAGACGGTATAACCGCTTCCTCGCTTGTGCATAAGGTGTGTGCTCGTAGTACGAGGCAACTTCGTAGAAGTGCCCGTCTACACAAAACTTAATGGAAACTCGGCTTGATTTAGTTGAATACGCAAGAAAGTTGCAGACACGCTTTCCTGTCTTACCGGACCAGATACAATCTTGGCTTAGATTGGTCGGATCCAACACTTCTCTTCTCAAGGTGTCACGTCTCGGCTACCGTTGTCACGATGAGATGTCGATTTGGCGGGCTGCTTTGATTCGCTATCAACACTTTGTAGCGATAGCCTTCAGCTGAATGTCAACAAGCACTTATGTAAGATGTTTACCTGCGGGCTGAAGCGTTTTTAACAAACTATCATCACGATGGTGGAACTGATCAAGATGGAAGTCGCTAAACTTGCTCGACTGACAACTTTGACACATCTCGTGAGCTGATCTGTGCCACCGATTCTCGTCAGAGAGCATGCTAAGCTAAGTGTAGTGGTGGTCCAAAAAGTGGTGGAGGGAGAAAAAAGGGTAGAGGGCAAGCAAATGGCATTCCTGAGTGTCCACGGCTCATGCTTCTAGAAAGCTTCTTGGTACAGCTTGCCTTTGCCATTTCAACAGTGACTGTGTGTGCTCACTCACATTCAAAATTTGATTGAGAACTCTTAGGACCAACGAGTACGTCTCCAATCATACCACGTCTCGTCAAAAATATACCGCCCTTATCAGTCAAAAAGTCTGACGCACAACCTTCTATCGAACGTGCTGAGCTTTATCCTTCTTCTACAGTTGGGTTCGTGGCTACATTCATTGAAACTCGGACGACAATAGCATTACGAAAAGGCAAACATACAAAGATAGAATTTGCTTGTGGATACGCTGAGATTGTTGTGTAAGTCTATGGATGATGGATGATCCCTGATAAACAAACTGCAATCTTTATGGCTGATTTGAGAGTCGCTGAAGACGTATTGTATCAATACAGAGCCTGATCTAGCTTTTCTGACGCGATCAATTGCAAGAAGCGCAGATCCACCAAGCCGACGACGATCTGACCAGGGATGGCAGTAAAAAAAAATGTAGAGCATCCCATGAAACGTTAACTCTCCCCATTTACCCTATAGAAATTGTGCTTTGCTTGGTCAGATAAAAGGAATGCAACGTAAAAGGATTGTATATCTGAGCACATGATACGACCGACCACGAGAGCCAATGGCGATGAAAACCCATCCATTACTAAGCAGAGATCCCGTACGCGTGGTGTAAACGCAACATAGCGTTGGACACTGGTGATCCTTCACACGTCGCATATATATATCGTACTTAGCACAATATCCCCCGGTTCTCGTTTTGATACGTGGCATGTTCTCTTCATTTCACTTTTGACCACATAATTAAATCGAGTGTGTCTTTGATACACAAGACGTGACAGACAGACAGACCAGACAGACCAGAATGGTACGTCCATCTATCGAGCCTTCGATCTTTAGCTGTATCTCTACCATGTATTTATATCTCTTTCTTTCTTTTCCTTTAGACTACAGGATCAACTAGTGCGTTAGCAAACAAGAAACCCGCTCCAACAGCATCAGCTGAAGGTGCAGCAGCCAGTGGATTACGTAATCGACGTCCGGTGGCTGCAGCCCGTTCGGGTCAAAATACAGGCCGTGGAATGGGTGGAAGTACAGCTGGGATTCTACGCTTTTATACGGATGATTCTCCTGGTCTTAAGATTGGACCGACGACGGTCTTAGTGAGTTGTCTCACATTTGTGGGCTTTGTCGTGCTTTTGCATGTCTGGGGCAAGTTTCGTGGCTAGAAAGAGAGAGAGAGAGAGAGGACTTGAGAGACAACAGGACAAGACACTTAACGAGACAAAGTCAAGGTTTACAAGTCTTTTTTTCTTTTTCTTTTTACTATATAGTAAGAGAGAGAGAGAGAGAGAGAGAGAGAGAGAGAGAGAGAGAGAGAGAGAGAGAGAGAGAGAGAGAAGTGTGAAGTACTGGGTGTGAGGATGAGACGAAAGTGTTTTCTGAGGTGATAAGACGACCACGTGAGATACAAAACTCTAGAATCTATAATAGGTGAAGATCTTTTGTGAACTTCAGGAACCTTTTGTCTAAGCTTTGACGACGACGGTGTCAGCAACAGAACGTTTACGTTTCTGCTTTGGTTTCTCTTGAGAGCTCGTCGTTTTGTTCGTGTGCTTGATTTTTTTCGTCTTGGTCTTCTGAACTTTGTCTATGTCATTGTCAAGAGCCATGAGCTGCTCGTTCTTCTCCTTCTTGATCAAAATGTTGCGTCTTGGTTTTCTTTGGAGATACGAATGGAATACCAGCAGCATCGGATATCTGCTTCACCATACCCTTGACAACAGGTGACTTGGAGTCCATGACCTGCACAGCCGCAACTACAGCATTCACGTCTCCTTTTGTCGCCATTTTGTCAATCGACAGGCACCAGAACTTTACGAGTTGCAACGCAAACAGCATTACGACCTTCATACGCTTGGCTTTGAGCTGCTGTACACTTTCGGGAGCCAATTGCCGCACAAGTGCCGTCTTCAGAGACTGCTGTACACGACTGAAAGCACTGCATTGAGTCTCGGACAGCTCGTTAGTCTGCTGCAGCTTGCTGCTGGCACGAAGTAGCACCGTCAGCAACCGGAATACTTCGCACTTTGAAAACTCGTCAACAGCCGCTCGCACCTCCGATTCATTAGCGTCTTCCTTCTTCTCAGAAGCCGCAGCAACAGCGGCTAAAGGCTCAAGGAGCACACGAATACCAACGGCAGGGAACTTGGTCAGCAGCTCCTCGAACGATGTACGCGGGAAACGGGAATACTTCTTCGTAAAGGCATTAACAACTAACTCGCGAATGATTGTTTGCGCTTCCTCAGCACTAGAAGACTCACTGGAGCAGATGACGCGAACGAGATACACAAAAGCGGCAGATGCAACTTTGCCAGCATGATCCTTATCCATTGGTGTGGAGCGAATCAGTTCAACAATCTGCCGAAGAGAGTCAAGAGCTTCGGTTTGAGAAGTCTCGTCAGACGGAATCTTGTCCTTTGTACGAAGCACCTTGTGAAGCACAGCCTGCAGGCGATCCCGAAGCACGAGTTTCTCACTATCGGCATTTTGCACGCGAGTATAAACACGGAACAACGGAGCCACCAACGACAACACCAATGCGTTGTGCTTCGCAGTAGCATCCTTGGTTTGCTCTGGACGCTGCGAAACAAACACTTGCAGCAGATCTAGAACCCGTAGCTGAAAGTGCATTGTCTGCAAACGAGCGCGCTTGCGGTCCTTCTTGCGTTGTGAGCGGACCTTCACTTGCCCCACAATAGCAGCTAGTGCTAGATCCTCTCGGTGCAGTGCTGCTAGCTTCGTGTCACTACGGAGTGCATCAGACAAAGCGTCCGTCGAATCCAGCATCACTTCCTCTTCGTCTTCATTTTCTTCTCCGTTCTCCTCCTCCTCATCACCACGCGCAATAGGAGCAAACTCTTCGTCCTCCTCGCCAGCAGCAGTACCTTCAGCTTCAGCTGTCGGCTGCAGCACGTTCATTATCGTGGTCAGACAAGCACCGTTGAGCAGCGGCAGCAGCGAACGGAAGACCTGCGACACGATTTCACGCAACGCACTTGAGTCCTCCGACAGTATGCTCAGCAACAGATCCGTGAGCACCACCACCGGCTCCTCTTTCATCTCCTCCGACTCATTCTCCTTTTTCTTTTTCTTTTTCTGTTTTGTGGAGGTCGCTTTCTGCTCTTGCGCACCAAGCTGCGCATAGCACTTTTCCAAGTCGGCAGCCACGATAGCGGCATCGTCGCGCTGCTCACCGTCCAAGAACTGAAGTCCAACACTCATAAACAACAGAAGGAACGTCTCAGTTAGAGGTCTCCGCGTCGCTGTTTTCTTTGACTTTTTTCCTTCTTCATTTTCTTTCTTGCTCAAATTGGCAACGTGGTCAGCTAGTGCATTAAATTGCAAAGTAGCTTCGGCGTCGAGAGAATCACGCAAGGAAACAGTCGCACTGTTTCCTTGCATGTCCTTGGCAATCGAAAAAATGCGGCTCAGGACACTGGCACTAGCATGCACACCATCAGCGCCCGCAAGGCCCAGACTCAACAATGAGAATAGACGGGTTTTAACATAACTAGCCACAGTCTCCGAGAGGGCAGGAATTGCTGCTGTCGCCTCCTGCACCACTTCGGCAATCTCTGTGGTCTCGACCAGCTTTGTCTTTTTCTTCTTTTTTCTCTTCTTCGAAGGAGTAGACTCAGCATCGCTTGACGGCGTAAAGAATGAATGAAATACCAGAAAACGGAGCACGTCGTCCTGTAGCTTTGCAGTTGCACGGTACGACTCATCCTTGGTGCTCAGCATCTCCGAAAGACCCGCAACCATAACCTCAACAGTCCATACTCGTGCGCGGTCCGTGCGTCGCTTTATCGCTTCTTCGCGCTCTTTCTTCTCTTCTATCTCAATAAGTGTATTGAAGCCTCCCGCACTCAATTTCTGCTTCTTCTTCTTAGGACTCCCGTCCTCCTCTTCGTCGCTATCAGCTGAAGTGGACGTTACCAAGGTAGAAAGAGGTGACGTAAACTGCTTGCGAAAGAAGTGAAAAAACTCGGCAGGCGCGCAAGCCGCAAACGACTTCAGACAGTGACGCGCTGCCTCATGCAAGTAGTTTCTCTTGGCAACAGCATTATTATACAGACACTTGACAAAACGTGGGGTAAGAATAGCTCTCAGAACCGGTGCAGGCAGCTTGGGAGCCACCAATTCAAACAACTTTAATGCCAGGCCTTGACGTTCGTGGCTGGTAGGAGCACTGTTTTCCGAGCTACTGCCACCAACCAACGAGTTCTCCACCAACACCATCCAAATTTCCTGAAACAGCTCACCATCAAGCGTAGCCGATGCATCCTTCGTCGGGTTCAGTACATGACCAAACACTCCAAACCAAGCCGAATGCACGCGTGGGTAACACCCCGATGATCCACGAAGTGGACGTGCAAGCACATGTACCTTATGACGCTGCAGAGCATTTACAGCCGCAAACTTAACCGGCAATTGCTTCATCAATTTTTTATCTTGATCGATACCTATGAGACGAAGATAACGCTGCACACCAACAGCTAGCAGCACCTGATCGGCATTCCAAGCCTCTATTCCTTCTTCCTCGCTGCCTTTAGAGGACTGAATCTGCAACGATTTATTGATTACAGTAGCCAGTTCCGTCAAAAATTGTTCCGCTGGTACATCCACCAGCAGAGTCAAGACTGCTTCATAGCACGTCTCACGGAACCAGCGTTTGAATGTAGCCATCTCCAAAAGCTCTTTGATCACCGTCACAAGCAGTGGCAAGTCAGCACTCAACCGACCCGAGCGATGCAATGCCAAGAGTCCAAAAAGACGACCAAAAACATGCTCCCGCTGTTCCATGGGTTTCATGGATGAATGAATCTCCATAGCTTCACACAGCAACTCGTGTGTGCTCTGCAATGCAATTTGACTTGGAAATGTAGCCACAAGACCACTAAGTGCCGTACTAAAACCCTGACGAGCAGCATCACGTGACGATGCCAGGCCACGCACCAGTCGTTTGAGTGTATACTGTACTTCAGTGTCCTGCTTGGTGCTGTGCTTTAAATGTGCAAGCAATTGCACTGCTGCCTGCGTCCGGACATTGCAATCACTCTCTGCAAGTGTCCAAAAGAGCTTGAGAAAGTCATTCTTCTGTGGAGACGATACTTTCGTGCCATTCTCTATCGTCTGCTCTTGCTTGTCATCCATGACGATGAGAGGAATTATGACCACCGCTTGATTGGTTGGTGGCCCTTCGACTATGAAAGGTGCACGCGAAGGTTGCAGCAGTAAATGGCTACATCCATAACCTTTGATATAGGATACAAAGGTAGCCATTTCCAGACTGTCCCAATGGCTACTTGATACTTATAATGGCTACATTAGGTGGACGTTTTTTTTGGCCATTAGTATTTTACTCGTTCCTGCATGACTGAGTTGATTACACTATGACGAACCAGCAGCAGATTCCAGAGCCTTGATAAATTCGTCTACTCGCGTAGCGTTCACTTTAATCAGGAATTGCGTCAACTCGTCGTCCATCTGCAGCGCCAGTGTCACGCCCGTCTTCTTGCCCTTTGTCTCCTGTGGACGTATAGCCATACCCTTGTACAGCGCTGAGTTCAGCACGACTTTGCCAATCTCGTTGCGAACCAGAATTCGCCCACTCTTTGTGTCCTTGCTAACGAGCACCTTTAGACGGTGCACGCCTTTGTCGGCCCAACGCTTCTCGTCCTTCTTGAATTCAAAAACCTTAGCCTTGTCAGCTTCAAAAGTGCAATCGTCATCGGAAGAATCAGCCTGCGTAGAGAGCCAAACATACACGATTAAACTCGATAAATGCAAACAACAAGGGACCATGGCCAGCGACAAACCTTGATAATGACAGTAGCTTCCTCGCGTCCAATGTTTTCTTCACTTTGGTCCTTGGCAGTCGTCGAGGTAGATGTTGGATCTGCTGAAGCTGAAACCCCAAAGCTGGATCCACCACTCGATGCTGGCGCAATGCTCTTTGTAGCAGGTGCGTTGCCAAACGAAAAACCTCCAGTAGCAGGAGTAGAGGAGGCTGCAGGTGCCACTGGCTTGGACAGAGCTTCAAACGAGAACGCAGGAGTAGTCTTCTCCTCTTCATCCGAAGGTTTGCTAGAAAACAACGAGCTACCAGCGCCACCAAACAAAAATCCTTTCGAGGCGGGTTTTATAGATTCATCATTCTTCTTCTTGACGGCGGCACCAAACGAAAATCCACTGCTAGCTGGAGTCTCATCCTTCTTTTTGGCTTTAGCGTTGCTGCCATCAAACGAGCTCGATGGAGCGGTGGCTACACTTGCGGTAGGAGCGGAAGCCGATGTTGCACCAAACGAAAACGGTGCTGGCACCGCTTTCACTTGTTTAGTCTCATTGATTGGAATAGGTCTGGTAGAAGCGTACTTGGTGGCAATCTCTGCCGCGTATTTCACGTAATCCTGCAAAAAGCCGTCACAACCTACGCTTCAGTTTCCACTTTATCACAATTACACCAATTACTACATCACACACCTGAACTGCTGCCATCCAGCTCACACTTGGATTCTTCTGTAATTGACCAGTCACAAAAGCCAGAAACTCCTTATTAAGTGTTTCCATCGCTTCCTGATACGACTTGAAAGACGCTGCACTTGTTCCACTGCTCGTCTTCTCCTTGTCAGAATGAACTACCCCACTAAGCCCTGAAACTTCATCCAATGGCTTAGACACAGCAGATTTCGCAGTCGTGAGTCCCTAGAGCATCAAACACATCATCAAACCAGATCAAATTTCACCCTGTCATTACTCATCACTTGAATCAGATCCCAACAGACCTGAAAACCTCCAAATGGGTTGCTTTTAATGACGTTATCTTCAATTTCCACCGCCTCGGGCTCTTTGGTCACAACAGGCGGGTGGTTCCGGTCTCGTGCCTTGACAATTTTGCGTTTGCTGATCGAGTCTTCACTCGCACGTTGAAATCCAGTCTCACAAGACTCGGCATTCACATTATCGTCGTCATATGCAGCTTCGTATTCCTCACGCCGCATCTGACCGTCCTCGTTGCGTCGCTTTACCATGGCTAAAGGTGTAGCTACCGACGGTAGTTGGGCCTATCGTTTTTTTTGGGCCTTTTTTAATGGTCCTAACGAATTGAGCGATGTTTTAGGTATATTTTTACGGATAATTAATTTATTCTCAAAGGTAAAGTGGCTACATTATAGTATTTCTTCCGATTCAGTGCACTCACTATTAGATGAGCATCGTCTATATAACGATAGTAAGTATAGGCTGATTCAAACATGCTTACAAGAATGCAGCCTGGAAATAGCAGAGATCTTTGAACCGTGACAAGAAAGTGTTTTTAACAGCTTACCTCTTCTCCTTGACTGCATTCAATTTTCCTGCATGCTAACACTTTAAAAATACGTCTTGATCTTTGCTGCAATGTCGTCAACACGGGCAGCTTGCGTGAAAAAGTCCAGGAATTCGCCATCCGGGCCGACAAGGTACATCACAATCGAGTGATCGACCAAGTAATCATCGTCGTCATCGTCGTTTTCATCCGCCTTGGAAAAGTATACACGGTAAGCCTTGGCGATTTCTGCTATCTGATCACGTGTACCCGTGAGCATCTTGAACTTTGGATGAAAGTCAGCCTTATAGATCTGCATCTGTGCAATGGTGTCACGTTTCGGGTCTACAGTCACAAACAGCGGCACAACCTCGGGGCAATTCTCAGCTTCCAACTTGTCAAGCACGTCACCGATGCGCACCAACTCATTCGGGCAAATATCGGGGCAGTGCGTAAAGCCAAAGTATAGCAACGCGTACTTGCCACGAAACGATGCGTCCGTTACAGCACGTCTCGTGTCACAGTCCACAAGTGTCCAAGGTCCACCTAGTAACGGCTTACCCACTGACGTCACTTTAGACGTAGCTGCCAATATAAACCAAGTATACAACCAACAATTAGTTGTTAGATTCTCTAGTCTTTGCCGCCATAACTACCGGTTCGTACATTGAGTTTGTAAACGATCTTTCTCCGTGTAGTAATAGTACACAACACCACTGCTTACAACCCCTGCAAGTGCCAATCCAGTCCACGTAACTGGCTATAAATAATGCACAAAAGCCACGAAAGAGCCACACAAAAGAGAATCAACCGTTAATATCGTATATCTACACTGAATCATCATCAGTTTTCATCGTTTTTTCACCCCAAATTTTTCAGTGCGTTTGCTAGAAGGTGGTGCATCCGAAAACATACGACGCGCAGTTGAAACTCTCGTCTGACGAAGCAAAGACATCGCACGCATCACTCGTCTCGCCATCTTTAATTTGGATGTGAAAATGGCCATTAAAAGAGCAATGAAATTATATCATTGGTTAAAACTATTTAATTCATTTTAACGAATCATCGTCGTTCATTCCTTCCCAAAGGAAGATTTACCATGTCAAACGAAGGCACGCGGCTCATGACGCGCTACGTGCGACCCATTTACGAGGCCATCGATAGTCGTCAATACAAAGCAGCAATTAAATTATGTATGCACAAACGTGTAGTACATTTAGACATTGTACAAGTGCTGAAAGCGCACTGTCTGGAGCGCACGGGACGAGTAGAAGAAGCGCTAGATATATGTCGTCGTATTCAACGCAACCAGCCAATCGATGACACGCTATTGAATACAATGAACCTCGTGTTTAAACTTGGAGGATGTGAGCATGAAATGCTGCCAACATTTGAGCACGCTTGTGCTGTAAGTCATCCACCAAATGAAGAACTCTATCAGTCGTTATTCATGAGCTACGCAAGACGTGGAGACTTTCTCAAGCAACAACAGACGGCACTCAAGATGTTTAAAGCTTTTAATAATATTAAATATGTCTGTTGGGCTGCATTGAGTATGATGCTACAGGTAGAACATAAAGGAACACCAACGCGGATGTTGGCGTTAGCAGAAAAGATGTTACTAAAGACATTGAGAGATTCTGGGTCAGATGATGGAGAGGTATTGCAATTGACAGTGCTCGTGATGCAGCTACAAGGCAATCATCAGGGTGCACTGGAAGCTTTCGACGAGTTTGTCAAGAGGGATGACGACAAGGACAAGAAAAAGGAAAGAAAGACAGTCTTGGGACGGGCTGCAGAAGGGGAAGGAGCTTATGAAGAGGAGATTGAGCTCGGACCAATGCAGGCTATTGACAGGTTGTCTTTGGAAGCAACGCTAGCAAAGAATGTGGCCAATTGGACTCGATGTGCGATGGTAAATCGCACGTTGCTGGAAGAATACAATGCAGACGACTGGACGTTCTTGAAAGAGTACATTGCTGCACGATTTAAAGAGAAAGTGGGCTGCACAACGGCGGAATTGTTGGCACTTAAAGAAGAAATTATGGATTTTATGAACGATTTGCAGTCTCGTCCAAACAATGCGCGCATTCGAGGACCTGCTCTTGCTCGTATCCACATCAGTGCTGAGACCTTGCGTAGTTTGAAGCCGGGAGATGCGGCCGTACCGCAGGTGGAGACAAAGTTACAAGAGCTTATTGTTGCTTATGCGGATGAGTTTTACTTTAAAGCGTGTTGCTTTACTGATTTGAAGCAGTACTTCACCCTCTACTTAAAGGATGGCACATTGGTATCAGCGCCCGCAAAATCTAACCTGATCCAACACTTTAGTAAACTGTCGGAGGAATCCGCGGGCTTGCTCAAGAACAAGCCACTAGATAGTAATATCGATGAAATGGCGCGTAAACACGGGCAAAATAACCTGAGTAAGCGATTGCTTGCGCTCAAAGCACTTCGTTTTCTAGGCTACTACGAGAATTCGGAAATGTTTTCGGTGAGCGATTTGCACCATTTGGTGACAGACCTCGAAGAAGAGTACGAAGCTACGAGTTGGCTCAATATCGGTAGTGCCGGCGGTCAACGCGAGGTGCAGCTTACGGACGACTTGCTCCTGCTCGCGACACACTTTCTTCTGGATATTTATCAGCGTTCCAGCGGGCATCGCGAGTACCTGGAGCGTGCCGCAGGACTCCTTGAATATGGACTGGAGAAGAGTGCATACAACTTCCAAATGAAGCTTTTGCTGTCCCGTGTGTACGGCTACTTGGGTGCTGCAGAGGCTATGCTAAACCGTCATGTGGAGCTTGATGTGAAGTACGTGCAGTTGGACTCGTTATCGTTCTTGGTACTTGACAAAATGCTTGACCTCTGCCAGTACTCCGAAGCACAAAAGCTGACGACAAAAATCACAGCTTTGCATCTCAGGACGGCAAGCGACACTCCTGAGTACATTGCCCGTGCTTACCGAATTGGTGTTTACTCGAAGGTAGTTGACATGTCTTCATTCTTGCACAAACGTATGAAGAAGTCGCACACGCTGGCTATCAGCAGAGGAGAGACACTACGCTTTCAGTTGCTTGACTCTATTGCTGCTGGTCCTGCAAAACTCTACGAGCTTGTAACATCTGCAAATTTTGATACTCAGATCACTGATTTGGAGGACATGCTGGTGTCGAATGGTGCCGAGTTATCGCACAACCAGCATCGAGAAGTTGTTGTAGCTTGGACTTCGCACCAGCAGGTTCCTACAGGCGATTATTTTGGCCAAGATGACGCTCCTCTTGTGGAATGTGATCGATCAGCTAATGCGGACTCGTCACTGATGTGGCTGAAGCTCCGCGTGCTGGTCCCAAAACTGCTTAAGAGTCTTGCTAAGGATGATCACCCGGCTTTAGCTTCTTTGACGAAAGAATACAGTGACATCGTGGCTCAGCTGCACCTCGCAAATTCTACCAGCGAACGTCAGCCTCATGTAAAACTTTGGGAATGGAGTTCAAATGTTATTATCGCATCCGCACACATTGTAAATGCGGTGTATGGCCAAAGCGAGGAAGGTGAAGACCAAAAGGACATTTCTGCAGCGATTATGCAACTTCAAGACGACTTCACAGCAATGGTGGGGCTTCTTCGTGCGGGACTAGTGTTTAATTCGGCTGATTCTTCTTGCGAAGCAGTGGCGCTATCGCCGTATGCTGTGTCCATGTTGTCGTCATTACTGCTGGACTCTGGTCTCACCTCGCTGAGTGCCTTGGCTCTTGCGCAACGCGCATTGGGTAAGAAGAAGGGCAAAAAGAGTGATCAACTGTCAGCTGTAGCATCTGCATTGCGCAACCTTTTCAAGCACATGCAAGAGTCGCTGATGCAACTGAAAATGGATGTTGCCAAACTCGAGTTCACGTCGCACAACCAGTCGAAAGCTTTGACTTCACCGAGAGAAGTAACTCAAGAGAAAGCGTATGCAAACGTGGTGAAGTCCTATCAGTCGCTTCAGACGAGACTGGAAAAGCTCCTGGACGAACGCTGCGCGAGCATTCGCGTCATTTTGCAAAAGTAGGACCGACCACTGGAGCTTCACTGAAGCAACTCTTCATCTTCATTTTTAGAGCTGCAGCAGGACTTTTTGCTGCATTACTTGCACCAAAACGCTTCAATGATTCCATGAAATGTATCTCTTTGCTCTTCCTTGTCGGTTTCCAATACAAAAATACAAGCAACATTAAAGACGACAAGATCATATTACCAACATAGACATTGTTAGAGTGGCAAAGTGTATGTTGAAGTTAATGTGAATGTTGAAGTGGCTTTGCATAGTGTCGCTGTACCCATTTTCCTTTTTTCAAACTTACCCATTTCACACTTTTTTACGTCCACAATTCCCAATTCATCCAAGTGTATCATGCGGCGCCGACACCGAAGCTATTACGCCAATCGCGGCACTATTAACGCTCAGAACGTGAGCCAGGACCCACATTCTGTGTCTACAACTGTCTCTAGTACAATTGACGTGTCATCTAATGCATCTCCAGCCTCTAGAAGCTCCGTTTTGACTGCAGGAGGCTCGACAATTCATGGAAATGTCAATGTACGCTTGGATGTGAACGCTAGCGCCCTTAGTGTCGATGTTACAGGCTCAATAGCTGTACTAGCAGGACGTAAAGGTCTACATCTTGTTGATCTGGAGACGCCGTTCCTGCCTGTGGCTACATTGCACCACCAAACGAAGCTTGAAGTGACGGTAGTTAAGTGTAATCCCCACGCTCTTTTTAAGAGCAACGTGGCTTCTTCTAGCAACCGGAACACGCTCATATGGGACATTACAGACATAGGAGTGGGATCTGGAGCTTCCGGCTTCATTGGGACAGGTCAGGGCTCTTCGAGTGCTTATAAACACGGTCAAGGAGGAGCTAGTAGTGTCACAAGTGGATCACAGACGACCTCACAGCCTCTTGTAGCTACATTGAGAGCTCATACTCGACCAGTGAGTGACGTCGCATGGTCACCTAGTGAACCTTCATTACTGGCGACGTGTTCAGCTGATGCAAAGACGCTGTTGTGGGACATGAGGTCGGCACAGAGACCGGTACAGACATTAAATGCCTTTAACACAAGTATCATTCAAGTGGAATGGAATCGGGTGGATGCAACGTCATTAGCTACAGCTCATGACGGCGAAGTACGAATTTGGGACTTACGAGCTGCTGCAGAAAGAACGGTCTCCCCCGTGGCTCTCATTACAGCACATATGCAGAAGATCTATGGTCTTGATTGGCATCCCCAGCGAATGTATGAATTGGTGACGTGCTCGGAAGATAAGACAGTTAAGTTTTGGGATGTGACACGTCCAAGAGTGTGCCAGGGGACACTGAATACAGGTGCACCAGTGTGGCGAGCGCAATACACTCCATTTGGTGATGGGCTAGTGACTAACTCGCAGCGGATGGATAACACGATTCGACTGTGGACTCTTTCGCATGGTGGTGGAGACAACCGACGCAATGTAGATGGTGGAGACCTGGATGTTAGTGGTGCTAATGTGGCAGCTTCTGTCACAGCAGAGTTGGTGCATTCGTTCGTAGGCCATAGTGATCTGGTGAGGGGCATGGCGTGGCGTGTTCGTCCTCAGACGAGTGCGTATCAGCTAATATCATGGTCAAAAGACCAAGAGTTACGCATGTGGCATGTGGATGTGCCACAACTTGAGGCTTGCGGCTACGACACTGCGTCGTACCTTGCAGATGGTGCTCCTTCCGAGGGTATTAATGCTAGTGCTCGCCAGCAGTCTGATGCCCGCCGTGTTATCCATGCTGAGTTCACTGAGATGCAGGCCCAGCACTCCAAGTACAGCTTGTCCGCTCTAAAGACCGATTTTGTACCGCTCGTGGTGCCCAAGTCAGCAGTACCACTAAACACGGATGAATACACGCTGGAGGGCAATAATAGCTCGCTACAAGCTCTCCTTGCACTTGAGGAAGAGCTTATTGAAGGAGGCGAGACTCAATCACAACCAGATAGTGGAGAAGATGAAGGGACAGTGTCAGGAATTGGAGAAAATAATGATGGTTGTCTAGACAACTTTGCAAGTGCAAAGGAAAGTTTTGCAAGCTCTAGCGGTGCAAGAGCGCTGCCGTGCCCTCGTATTTCAGGCGCCGCTTTTAGTGGGCCTAATATGCTGCTGATGTTCGATTCACGGGTGGCAATCGGCCAATCGCGCAGCTCAGTAGTTCCGACTGCTGTTGCTGCGGGCAAAGAGAACAAGCTGCAAGTGGCTCCAAATAAGCTACCACGCACCTACGAAGAATTGCTCGATTTAAGAGACTCCCGTTTTGCAACGAAGAAGAACAAGAAACCACCGGTAAAACTTCTATCGTCGGCAAATATCATGGGCTCTATCGATGTTGGTCCAAATGATTGGGCAGGACAGCAGCAGCAGCAGCCACAAGAGCTAATTGACAACGGTGGTGTGGCGGGTGTATTCGAAGACATGGATAGTCACGCGCGCTCTGCTCATGGGTACCGTCATTCGACCATGTACTACTCGTCAGGCAGTGGGGGTCTCGGCGGAAAAGATGACATTTTGGGTGGGGCTCATGAAATGGAACCCTCCATTCATGAAGGACCCGACTATTTGAATTCGTATTTCGAGGGCGCCGAGTATCATTTACCGATAAACAATTTGGAGCATCTTCTCACGATACCTTCAAGCGCTGTAACTGGTCTTCAGCTCTCTCCTCGGGCATCAGTCCGTTCAAGTACTGCAGAGCGGTTGAAACGACCTGTGGAGCAAGCTGCACCGGCTCTCAACCTTGATCTTAGCATCAGCGTCACGATTCTTGACCTGTCCAAGCTTTGTGGTGTGTCTTCCATTCTAACGTACCAGACGGATCTCGCCCCGCGTGGTGTGACCCAGCCGGCAGCATCATCGACCGCTAGTATTGCGGCAAGTCAGAAGAAGAGTCAGCTTGGATCTGTCAACCGCTCCATGATATCCTGGATGCTGCGAGCAGCGGAAGATAGATCTGGCAGGCGTGGGGTTGCACCAAATAATAATCTGAGCCGTGTACTACAGGGTCTATTGACCGAAAGTGGTGCTGCTGCCAAGGAGCTAAAGGAAGACGATCATACTGCGTTCGACGTATCCTGCACTGCGTTAGCTGCAACGTGTGCACAAAATTCACACACTGCAATGCTGGCAGGCAGACGTGACTTGCAGCAAATATGGTCTTTGTTGGGGATCTCAGCGGCACCTGAAGTAAAACTGCCTATCTACACGAAAAAGAACAAGTCGTCGGCATCACTTTGTCTGCAAGCCTCGCATCCTTGGAGTGCTCATCCACTTGGAAAACGACTCGTGCACAAAGTTCTTGACATGTACGAACAGGCGGGAGATGTCCAAGCCCTGGCATCAATTGTGTGCGTGTTGAAGCCAAGCGAGCGCAAGGTACAGAACGAAACCCGTGAACCGGTCACACCTTCGACGATTGTAATGGAAGATCAACTCCCAGTCGTGCGTGAGGACAGGCGTTCAAGCATGGATGAGGTGAATGGTGGGCTAGAGTCTAGTGTCCCTGGGCATGCTGCAAATTTAGCGGGTGGAATGCGTTCAAGACGCTCGTCGTCGAATGCTCTTTCGCAATTGGCAGTGGGTTTGACCAATTCAAATGATGCTCCTCCTATTATGAGAGGCGCTCGCCGATCTAGTAGCCACAACGATACTCGATCACACGGGCTGTCTGACGACAAAGAGGCAGCGCTTCGCGCATCGAAAGACTGGCTGCTGGTAAGCAGCAATAATAGTAGCGCCGCATCGAGTCGACACTCGAGCCCTGTCCAAGAACGCACGCAGGGTAGCTCTTCTGGACTGAGCAACATTAACCGTGACGCGTTATACAAGGCATCAGCACCGGCACTGAACAATGGTTGGAAGATGGACTTTGACCGGCTGGAAAATCCCTTCAAGACATGGAGCGGAAACTCCAACAAGGACGCTCCCCCGCCTCGACTAACTGCAGATACATTCCAACCTCCGGTTCGAGCTATGAATGGAAACTCGCCAGCGCTTTCATTAAAAGTGACTGCATCTCCACGACCTGATTCCGTGACCCCTTCTCCTCTCCATCCACCACTCGATGCAATCAGCAGAGACGAAGAGGTGGACGCGAATGGCCGTGTATTGCTACAATTAAGTTTTCGCTCGGTGGATGACGAAAAGTGTCTGCTATCATCACATGTTGAAGACGAAGCACGTTATGATATATACAAGGAATCATATGCAGCTTTACTCTATCGTTACGGTGCAATGAATCTACGGAACGAAGTACTCAAGACAAAATCGCATTGTACCCAAGACTTACGAGGTATTTCAATGGGTGTAATTTGTCACTCCTGCAATGCGGTACGTCTTGTATAATGACACTGTATCCCACAATCAATTGTTCTCATCTATTTTGTGTGTATCTCGTTTCTTTTGGTCTGGAGAAAACAATTGATGCAGTCTGTACACATTGTCGAGCATTTGCACTGCGTTGCTCCGTCTGTCAGCTCGTGGTTCGTGGTCAATCAATGTTTTGTATGACTTGTGGACATGGTGGACATGCTACACACGTTCGTGAATGGTTTGAGAGTGAAACAATGTGTCCGACGGGCTGTAGCTGTTGGTGTAAACAAGCTACTGCAACAATGCCTGCCTATCACTTGGAACAACACGAGACTGATGACACTGTCGCGTTGTCACGGTCCCACTCGTTCTAAGTCAAGTGTCGCAATTGGTGTGGAACACATATGGAAGAGAGGGGGGAAAACACGTTTTTATCCAATCATATTGAACCGTTGTCTTGGCTGGTCATCGTCAGTAGTGCGTGAGTGAGTGAGATGCGAGGGAGTGGCTTAAGTATTGAACGCTTTATCAAGGGCAAAGCACAGCGATCCAAGAGTGATGCCAAGAGTAAAAAGAAGAGTATTATTTACAAGGCACAACGTCGACGTCAGTATGAGAAGGTGAAGAAATGTGAAAAACGAAGTGTATCCATTGGTGAGGACGCAGACAAGGCTACGGGATTGACGTTCTATGATCGGTTCTTTAGTGACCTCAAGAGCAGCAAAGAAGATGAAGAGTTAAAAGAGGTAGTTGTTGCTGTACTTGGCGGTGATGCAATGGGAGGTGGGTGGAAGGATGACTTATGGATGATGTATGATGTTTAGGTGGAAGCACGAGTTGAAAAGTGTCAAGACGAACGAGTCGAGCGGAAACACGTGATGAAACCTGATCCGTTCTTTAAAGCAAAGAAGAAGGCAGCAGTCACAAAGGTTGAGAAACAAAGAGTTTATCTGGACAAACAGAAACGGGTACAAGCTACAGAGAAGAAAGTCACAGCGCGGAAAAAGCGCCACGTGAAGCTGAGTCAGCGCACGGCGACGGGACAACCTGTTGTGAAGAATCATATTCATGACATTTTGTCACGATTACAGGCCGAGAAGAAGCAGGATGACAAGTAAATGAAGAAGAAGAAGAAGAAGGTGAACGTGTTGTGGTGTGGATAAGTATTGCGAGTCATCATCATTATCATTTCAACAAGAACCTTTTCTCTCTCTTTCTTCTCATTGAGCAACACTCAGGAACCGTCGTTACCTTTGCTACTGCATCATCTTTAGAGGAACAATCTACACGGCCTTCTAGAGCTACAATAGCATTCTTCCTCTACAAACCAAGAGTGCTTTTTACTTGGCCATGGGATGCGCAGCAATATAGTCAATGACCTGCGCTGGAGTAAGGAGTTTCTCCGATTCATTGTCTGGAATTTCAATCGTAAATTCTTCTTCCATCGCCATCACAACTTCCACAACATCCAGTGAGTCCAGTCCCAAATCTTCTTGGAATTTCGCGCTTTCCTTCACAACATCAGCATTCACCTTTTCAAAATTCTTGACAACGCCCAGTACACGGTCACTGACTTCATTACGATCGAGAAATGTCTGCGCACTGAAAAAACGAATGGAAGAAGCACGGGACACGAATTGTGGACGAGCAACGGCGCGCGAAAGTGGGCGAAGAGCGACAAGGAAACGGTTCATTCTGAGCAGATCTCGAGCTAAAAGGGTAATGACTTGCGAACCACAAAATGGAGGGGAGACAATGGGTAGTGTCACCCACATCGATAGGATACAATCTATTCAGTACGGGAGGTGTTCTACTATTTTGGTAACCAGCCTCCCCCCCACAATTTATTATGTATTCTAATTCGTCAACGTGCCAAATTAGAAACATCTCTTTGAAATTACAAGTATAAACGCTTAAAATCATGCTTTTTATACAGTTTGAGCTTTCTAATCTAGTGCTTCTAAATCTACTACTGTTGTTGCTGTTGCTGGTGCTTGACGACGACAGTTTTGGCCAATGTGGCTTGTCTTTTGCGAAATTCGTCATCGTTGGTGTCGCACAGGAGCTGCCAAAGCAGCAGCAACATGCTCAAATTGTGAGAGAAATCGCTGTAATGATCACTAAGGTAGTGCAATTGTGGTTTTAGTGGAAATGTAAGTCCTTATAATTATCACCGCCCTGAGTAATCAATCAGATTATAAAATAGATATGGGGGCTGATTAGCAATATGGTGGGGGATACATAGCGCCTTCCAATTGATTTTACCAAATTCGATCTTGATTTTATCCCAATAAAATAACTGGATAAAATAATCTGCCAAGTTTTATCTAACCATGCAGCCTGAATCAGTGCCATCGCCGCCGGACGTGGCGCATGAAACGCAACAAGCGCGCGACTGGTGGAGCGTACGAGAGCTGGAAGTGGAGCGTGAGCTAGCTGCAGGTTTGCAGCGTCGTATGGAAGCACAACGCAGACAACTCTACGCGTTCAAGACGGAGCAGAGCAAATGGGAGCACGAATTGCAGCTGCGGATCTCGAAATATGCACACGACCGTAAATTATTGAGTGAACATAATGTCGAACTACAGAAACAGATGGTACTTATGGAAGAAAAAATGATGCAACATGAGCGAGAAATGGATCAACAGGTGGAACACGTGATTGAGCTTGAAGGAATGTTACATGAGAATCAGATTGATGTGCAGCAGATTCAGGCGTTACGACAAGAGAATGAAGAGTTGCAACGAGTGAGAAAAAATAGAGATTGCAAGCTGAAGATGAAAAGACGAAGGAGCTGATGATATTGTTTGTGGTGTCTGTGATGTTGACTAGAAACTGCGACATTGGGAGACGTTTTATCGAAAGGAAAAGGTGGTGATTGCAAAGGAGCAAAAGATGCAGCAAGAAGAACTTTTGACAGAATTAGAGACGCTTCTAGCGATTTCAAAAGATGAAATGGTGCAGCTACAGCATCTAGGAGCAATTCATGAGAGGGAGACACAAGGTGAACAGGTTTGGAAAGCTAGAGTACGACGGAAAGCTATTACAGAAGATGATCCGCTTGTTACGAGAATTAAAGAATTAGAAGCGACGTGCAAGCAAAAGGTTTGAATGCACGAGTGTACTACAAGCCAAACTTGATGTGACATTAATCACCGTGTCATAATGTGCAGGACCAAACTATCTACTCGCTGAAGACGATTGTGGAACAGCAAGAGACTGTATTTGATGAGAAGATGAAGATTTTAACAGCCAAGTACGACCAGGTCAAGACAATTAACATGGTATTGCAGGTGAGTGGGTACCTAAATGACATGATGTAAAGTCATGGGAAGCAACTAATTTCGGTCGTTGTTTGTCCATTTATGAAAGAAACGGCTCATGCTTGCACTGACAAAGGAAAACAGTAGCAAGTCGTAAACATATTTGTTAATCTTCCTGTATCAAGATCAACAAACAAAAGCACATGAACTTCTCTACTGTGGTAAACTCCATAAACCATTAGATTGTTACAATGGACTACAGCAGATAGCAAAAAGGTCCCATCAAAGTTGGAATTCTTCTCTCTCGTGGCACTTATTGTTGTACCTGAATATTGTACTTTTGCTGCCACTCATCAGCCGTCTTTTCCTTGTGCTTGATACTCTCATTAAGCTGCTTCAGGACTTGTGCAATGCCATCACGATTGGCTTTTACAGCTGGTAGTACCTCCTGTACCGTACGCTCCACTAATACACCACCTATCATACGATAAGCTTTGCGACCATTTGGCAGCTCAGTGAGTGTCTGGATCACACGATCATGCTCAGTAGTTTCCATCTCAAGCTCAGCAATCTTTTCTCCCATCTGTCGCACCTCGGCGCGTAGACTCTTGTATGTGGCCACGACCTGCTGCTCGGTGATGTGCTCTCCCATTGGTTTTGTGTTTGGGTCTTGTGGACCAATTCGTTTTGAGTTTAAGTTCCCAAATTGTATTAATTATTAAAACAAAATGGATATGGGTGTGAAAATGCAAAAAACCATGAAAAACAATACCCTACCAGTCAGTATTTGTATATGATTAAACAGATACAATTATTGTGTTATAACCATTGGCAAAACCATGGTTGTCTTATGTTTACGTGTATACCTTACAGATATACCAGCTAGTACCTGGCAAAATTAATATCTACAACAAGCAGTAGATGTTTTCATATAGGACATGACCTAGATCCTAAATAGGTCGTGTCAATCGTAAGACGTCAAGCACGGCACCATTGTTGGTCAGGGCTTGAGCCTAGAATCACAAAAGAATAAAAATTGTGATAATTTGCTAAAAGCTTATGTTAATAGGATGCCTTTGCTTGTTCAAGGACAATTCCATGCTGGTTACTAGAAGTGATTAGTTCCCTTTAGACGCCATTGGTGCTTGGTAGCTACTTGCAGTCTCTGTATCTAAGACGAAGTCTAAGCAACCTGCTTTGATTTCGTTTTAGTAACCTTACGTCTGTCAACGATTTCTTGAACGACTTGATTCAATGCGGTACAGCATAAAATAGATGGCCAATCGGGAAGCCCAAGAACGTGCACTCCTGCCGAGTCACATAGTTGAACCACGTATTCTTTGATGAGATAGCATTATACTGATCCTACTTTGCGCTTCAGCTCGTCCAAAAGAAGCTTCTGAGCATGGAAATACTCGCTTGCAATTGCATTGTTGTGCAAAAAGAGCCGCAATCGTCACTAGTAGTTATATAACTTCCAAACTTCACAAAAGTATTCTACGTTGACCATTCTCGTAAGCTGCTTTCTTCTTGTCAACATTTGTGATCAGCTCCTACTGTGATCTACCCTTTTTTACTAGTAAAATCCCCGTATGGGTATTTCTTTGGTCCTTCGAGCAAATGTCGGACGTATCGAGTTCCGACGTGGTATTCCCGTGAAAAAGTCAAATTGTCCATCCTTTGCTAATGTTATCAATGAAAGAAACCTATTTCTTCACGAAAATACATCGGGGCTGAAGTGATTCTCAGCACATTATTTCTTATAGATGTCGTGATGGTGGAATTGATCAAGACTGTACAATAGAAGAAGTTAAGGAACAATCAGGCTGACTTGAGAATGGCTAAAGACGTAGACTTATTCTGCAGATTGATCGGACCATTCTCGCTACTTTTGTGTATATCGGATCAGAGAGGGCTACTTCGACGAGAATTTTATCTTAATATTTGTAAGGGCGACTGGTAACGCACAGTCAGGGCCATTGGTTTTGAAGGACCTTTCGACTTTGTTTTTTTTGTTTATTGATCTTTATTGAGGAATTCAACTGACTCGAGACAAGTAACAAGATGCAGAACGAAGCTGGTGAATCGATTGATATTTACATCCCCCGCAAATGGTGCGTGTGTATCCTGTCATCGATAATACTGAAGTAAAATATTCATTGGTTTTGCTGGGTTTTGTCTGTTGTCCTGTGTAGTTCGTGGACCAACCGTATTCTTGCAGCCAAGGACAATGCATCGGTGCAGATCAATGTCGGTCGCGTGAATGCTGATGGCGTCTTCACGGGCGAGTCGGACACCTTTGCTCTGGCTGGATACATTCGTCACCACGGTGAGGGTGACATTGCCCTGACCGAGCTGGTCTCACAGGCGGATGCCAAGAACTAAGTCGACAAAGTCGTGCAAAAGGTGACCGTGTACTCGTCACCTTTTTAGCTGCTAAGTTTGAAAGCTGGTGCTCACGACAATATCATTTGGAAACAAATCATGTTACTCGTGAAAACTTGCTGAGACTGTGGTAGCGTTGCTTAGGATGGAGTCGGTTGTTTGTTGGGGTCTCTCCTCGTCTTCTCCTTGGTTGGTTGTAGTCTCATTATTTAATTCTGGTCAACGAACGAGCAAGGATGAAGGTTTTCACCCGTCAAAATATGTGTCGTCTTCTGTTGTTCTTTTTTTAAATGCTACGTAGTGAAAGAGTTGGGCTTGATATGACACAGACACGTGACTAGGCTGCTAGATTCAAACTGGTATCATTGATCGTTTCGTATTAACACACGACATGATAACACAAGCTCGTGTTCGTCTACCTGTCAACACCCGTTCGATCCATCTCGCTTAGCCCTTGATCCCAATACCATTAAATGACTAAAGTTAGTCTTCATAGACCTTCAAACAGTCTCAAACATTGAACGCACCTGGGGACCACGCTGGACCATGGCTTCTGACACAACCTTCATCGTGTCAATGTATCGGTTAATACACAATGCAAGACAATTCTGCTGTTTGCCATCCAATTTGCCATTAGGACGCGAAATGCACTTGTCAAAACACTTTTCCTGCAGATTCTGCGTTAGCTCTTGGAGCGCCTGTTGCTGTACTTCCGAGCGGACCTGCCAGTCGATCGCGCATTGCAAGACCGTCATTTTCATTTACGCAATCAAACCAGCTGCGTATATAGCAGTACAGAGGCATCATGATCAGTGTAGTTTATACGTACTCGGTTGACAAGCTCGGCCTTCTGTTGGGGAGTAAAGTTGGCGCCGTCCATTGCTTCTTTCTAATTGTTTATTATCCATCACCCACTTTAGTTGCTACAAAAAAGGCTTATGTTGCGTTATAGGTCGATGCGCAACATCTCACTTATCGCAACTTTTAGCTCGTAATATTTCCTAGTATTTTACCAGCCACAATATGCACACGCCGCTTGATCGTCCCCATCCTGATTGTCAGTCTGTGCGTTCAATGACTACTTTACTTGCTACTTCTATTGCTTAATTGGTACAATCCGTTAAAAGTTTGCTAACAATGAACTAAGCAGGAGATCAAAGCGTTGCTTCAATGCCACGACCATAATCCGTACGCCAAGTTTTTCGGTGCCTGCAGTGACGTAAAGACAGCGCTCGACTGGTGTTTTAAACATGAAAAAGAGCGTATTCGTGCAGAAAATCTCAAACGTGCCAAGGCTTCAGATGCTTTTGTAAAGCAGAAAATGCAGGAACGTCGTGACCGCATGGCAAAAGACGAGAATAACTAAATCACGAGACACGAAAGGGTTCTCATTGTGAATCACCATCAGGTTGTATTATTGTGCCTATTCGATTGCAGCAAAGAAAGTTAATATGCAAACACAGCAGAACGAATACAAAACCTCTGCAAGTTTTGGGCTTCTGCAGCGCACGTTCAAAAATATATCTCGATCAATTGTGGACCTAGAAGCAATGGGCAGAATACTAATTCGATAAGCAGATTGATTTACTTCTGCTCCTCACCTTCGTAGAGTTTGTCGCCAGTGGGGCGGTCCCAGACAGAGTATCGCGTTGTCAGATTCCAATAGTAAAGTTTTCCACGATTATCCAATGCTGAGCGCCAGTTGCCAAAACGCTGTCCAATAAGCACCACATCATCGTAGTCTTTGGGAATATTCGTAGCCTTCACGTGAATCTTTGGAAAGGTACTCCACGGAATCGTGCCTTCCATGATATACTTCGCATCAACTTTTTCGAGATTCTTCAGCTCATGTTTCATGTGCTCAGCCATGATGCTGGCAATATGCAAACCCTCTGGTGTCTCGTTTTCCAAAAGATGCTCAGCCACAGCAGACTGAAGAACATTGGGTCCATTCTTCAAGCCTTTGTCATAAGCCATGCAGGCGTTAAAACATACCTGCTGCACCTGAGCCAAGTACTTGCTTACTGTCAGTTCAGAAATGTCTTGGTATCGAATTCGCACGACTGTTTCCTCCCACAGTCGGTCAAACATGAGCTCTTGCATCACTTTTCCCTGTTTTCCTTCTAGTGCCAAACGGCGATGGACCATCCACACGTATGCCATAAGTAACGCCTGCTGCGCTCGAAAAGACCGTGGCAATCCCAGTGAAAAATAATACTCTGGTCTTGCTGTATAATTCATGCAACTCTGGAACACAGCAGTTGAATGACGGAACAGACGGTCGTCCTCGTTCAGAAAGCCCAGCATCTTCCAAAGCCAATGCCAGCGTTGAATCGGGTTCGGGCCTTTGGTTACATCAACATTATTAGACCGTCCAATAATACCGCGACCTGGTGATGGTGGTGCAATGTCTGTTACAGCCCATGCGAACTTATGCTTGTTTTCACGCAATATCGGCGACTGTGGTATACTATTAGCCGATCCAAATCCTCGAGTCATCAGTACCTGCGTCTGCATCCATTTAGACGGTGAGAAGATAGAGAAGTTGCCTAGTTGCTTAGTTATCATAACAAAGGCATTGCACTGGCCAGAGACCGCTTGTCTCGCTACCGCACGCATCATTAATCGAATGAGAATGAATGCGGTTGACCACACGTGGTAAGTTCGTATGAATGCGTACTTAACAGGATTGCAAAAAGGATTTCTGAGCCAAAGAGCTTCCAGCCAACAATCTCAGAGTCAAAGAAATGGGACGTAAAGCGAGACACTCGGCACGTACGGGCGATGGTGGGGCAGAAGTACGTTTACAAAAGAAGAAACTGAAAGAGGCAGAAAAGACACAGAAGGAGGCAGAATTGACGTTTTATGACGATCCGTCAGAGAATGAGAGTGATAACGAGCAGGTCGAGTCAGAGGACGATGAATTGGCAGGTGAAGAGGTGCTAGAGCTTGGCGGAGACAAAGAAGAAGAAGAAGAAGAGGAGGAGGAAGAGGATGAAGTAGAGAATAGTGAGGATGATAACAACATGTATGATGCGGGTAGTGAGCGTAAGAAAGCGATGCAGATGGAGAGCAAATGGGGCAAGTCCCGTAAGACTTTTTACTCTGCAGACACGGCAGAGTACGAGCTGGAATATGATGAAGAGGTCGCTAAAGATGAAGAGGAAGCTGCGCTTGAGTTGCAACGTAAGCAGGCAGAGATGATGGACGACGAGGACTTTGGCATTGATGCACCTGAAGCTATTGAAGATGCGGAAGAGGAAGAGGAAGAAAATGAGGCAATGCATGTGGATGATGAAGAGATGGTCGACACACAGCTGGCTGATATTGCGACGCTTGCTGATAATGGCACTGGAAGTGCTGAGACCATAGAACAGGTGCACCGGGACTTTTCCAAGATGTCCAAAAAGGACAAGTTGCAGATTGTGAATCAGTCAGCTCCAGAGCTGTTAGGTCTGATATCGGAGCTGGAATCGTCGACAAAGGAGTTAGAGGAGGTAATCACTCCGGCCGTACTCAAGCTACGACCTGTCCGACGGAAATCACGGCAGCTTCAGATGGGCCTGCGCTACTTGATGACAAGACAGAATTTGCTGCTGAATTATTCGGCGAATATCTCGTTCTACTTGCTGCTGCGTGCAGAAGGCAAGAGTGTGTCGGATCACCCAGTGTTGATGCAATTGTTGTTGCTTAAGAAACAGCTGAGCAAACTCCAGGCATTAGATGAAGTTTTAAACGATCAGTTGCAAGACCTGCTCACGAAGGAGCTACCAGCTGAGCGGAAATTAAACGTCGACGACGGTCTTGGTAAGTTTTTTGCAAAGTCGAAGGGCACACGAAGTACCGATGGTGAGAAGCTGTCAGCTAAGAAGACGAAGAAACAGAAGAAGTCGACGAAGGTGTCAGCCGAAGAGATGGCGGAGGCAGAGCGCTTTTACGAGCAGACCGCACGCGACCACGCGGTACTCAAGAGCGCCAAGAAGGACCTCTACACGCACGAAAACCCCGCGGCTCTGGTCTCTAGCGACGAAAAGAGCGACGAGGAGGGCGAGGCAGGCAAGCGTGGTGCGTCATACCAAATTATGAAGAATAAGGGTCTAAAGGCTCACAAGAGTAAGCTGAATCGCAACCCGCGTGTCAAGAAGCGCCTGCAGTACCGCAAGGCCATCATCAGGAGAAAGGGTCAAGTGCGCGACGTGCGCGTAGGCGAGGCCGGCAAGTACGGAGGTGAAACTACAGGTATCAAGTCGAATCTTACGCGCAGTCGGAAGATCCGCAACTAATCTGGAGAGCTTAGTCGAATACATAGACCATTGTGCATCATCCACTGGCTAGCCTTTGTTTTGTGCATTAGTAGCTGTGTATTGTTTGGTCATGTCCTTGCATAATGGTAAAGTTTTGTTGCAACGCTATGTTGCCATACAACACACTTCCATGCACAGCTACGATTGCTTAGCAGCTTCAACGGGACTTTCCCACAGCTTGTGCTCTACATCAAAAGAAACACGCACATCCAGTCACGTTAGTTCATCTTAAGCTTACGGAGTTCAAGAGCTACTACTTCCAACGTACCAATGTACACGGGAATGACACTCAATTCATCCTCAGCCTGTTCAATCAGCTCCTCCAGTTGACCACAGTTAATCTTACGCTCAATCACGTCCTCCTACATCGTCAACACCCACGACATCAGCATTTTTTATCCTCCTCACACCATCGAAACGTTCCTTTTATCCCAAGTCTCTCACCTCTTCGTTGGTCTCTACCACATTTAGACGAAAATTAGTAATCTGTTCCACTGCATTACGGTAATTCTTGGCCTCAGGCGGTAGAATCTACATAGATTAACCCAGTTAGAGAAAAAGAAGCAGCTCGATACTACCTCTCACTTCTTTTATAGCTTGTCGTACCTTGACCTCATCCAGCGTCCGACGGTAAATCTTAATGAGATCCTGGCGAGCATTAGGGTTTACCTTAAGACCCACTAGACCCGTCGACGTCTTCGTCACTGCCATTCGAAGCATTTTCGATGCAAACATGATCAATAGTGGAGCGTAATTCCTACGCAATTATTACCTTGTAAATCAAAGGATCACCGCAAATATATACTTACGTATGACTGGCTAATATTTGAATTGATCTCCACTTTGTTTTAACCAATGAGAGTACAATAAAGGTGACGAGACAAAAATCTGAATCGATAAAACAGTCGCGGTACGAGCAGCGCGAGAGCAACATGAGTGGCGTCTTCCCAGGCAACAGCAGTCTCATTCAGCAGTTAGATAGTGCGTATATAACTCATAAGACTCTTGTAGTCATGGTGCTGTATTTTATGTAGCGTCTTATACTATGATCTACGTGGTTAATTGACTTTTATGACGTGGTATTGCTTGAATATTTCAATAGAGCAAGTGCTGATGGTCTTACGCGATGGTCGCCACCTCGTTGGGTATCTACGAAGTTTTGATCAGTATTGTAAGCTATTCTTGCTGTTTGAACGAGTATTTGCTAGTGATGGGAGACAATTGACTTACTGCTATTGAGATGTCACAGCAAATATTATTCTTGAAGACACATTTGAACGTCACGTGTCTAAAGGATTATTCTGTGATATTGAGCTCGGTCTCAACATTATCCGGTACGTGCGTGCTAGATAATAAGTTTGAATAAGATCGAAGAACTAATTAATTTTGTGATGGACATGAACATGGACATAGTGGTGACAATATTGTTCTTCTTGGTGAATTGGTACGAATGACATCTTTGCTCCTTCTTTTTTTGATGTTGATCTATTAACATGGTGGTTTGTTGTATGTGATTTTTTGACATTACAGGACAGTGACAAGGAGCGCGATCAGCCACACATGAAGCGCGTTGAGTTGGAAGAGGTGCTGGAGGCTGAAGAACGGCTAAACGAAGAAGGCAACACTAGCGTCCGTCAGCAATGGGACTTTGAACACCAGCATTAACTAATTACAGTATTAGTTTCAAGTCGAGTAAGTGTGGTCTACACAAAATAGCAATACCACAAAGTAGGAACCCCTTCAGTTGGGTAAGATACACTAATTAGTGTTCCATACAAACGGATTTCAGCATAGCCGCTAGTTTTGCAGCTCAAGTGAGTGAATACGTAATCAATCGATAGCAGCCATGGATGAAGAGCGCAAGACCATGAAGCTGCCGGACACGGACAATACGAGCCTCACGTGTGCTGCGCGGATCCTGGGGCACGAATGTGCGGACGCCAATCTGGAGTTCTTGCGGTGCAAACAACTTGACGCCAATCCGCGTGCGTGTCTCGCACAGGGCGAGAAGGTGACGGCCGCCGTGCTAAAGACGTGCGTTGCCCATTGTTTTCATACAAACTTCAAGTGAAATTGTTGGTACTGGGAGGGGAGAGAATTAAACTGATACTTTTTCTTGTGGTTTGCGTAATCAGGCTTCGTGACGTCGAAATGAACTGCGGTGAGACGTACTCGGCGTACAAAAAGGCGTTGAAGAAAAACTGGCACCGGATTGACGAGACGAGGAAGGAACAGACGGCATTGGAAGAGTGTTGGCGACAATACAAGGGCTATAATAAGCCACAGGAGAACTAACTTGTCAATTAGTTAGTTTGAGCCAGGAAGGGGCAATGGCGCTGGTCATTGGATTACAAAAGATTTAAGACCTACGACCAACCTCTTACTGTCATTTGTGCAGCGCTGATAGCAGCAATGACCTAATTGAGAAAGAGAGAAATGAAGGAGAGAGAAGGGGAATCAACAATCCAGTCAATCATCAACTTGATCCCTTTTACTTTGCAGAGAAACTCGTTAGGTACTTGTCGGGCTTACTGAGTATTGTCTTCAGGTTTCGGTAGCAAAGGAGGAGTTTTAGAGCTCAATGGGCTGCTAGAAGCTGACTGCTTCTCACATTATGTGTGTTTGAAAGGACCACCACCCACACCAGCATCGAGGCAGGCCTCGGTCGTATCAGCGGAAGACGACAGACTGGTTGTCGTGGCAATTGAAGCAGTTGGAGCAATGGTAGATGCACACGAGCTTTCGAAGCGTCCACGGTAAGCCCACAAGCCCAACGCGGGGTTGGAGATGTAGAAGAATCGCTCGCCATTTACGTCTGTGTTCCAGCCGTCTTGGAGCTTGTCAATAGGGTACTTGACACTCATTTCCTTGAGATCACCGTAGGCAAAACCAACACCCTCGATTTCTTCTTTTGTGAGATGTCCTGGACAATACGTGACGCGGAAGCGGCCTTCGGACGAGCCATGAATTAAATGCGCTGCTGCGCTCAGATTTTGCATGAGGTCACGGTTAGCATGGAGGTGGGCTAGCACTTCCTGTAGACAGGAATGAGTAGTATGTTAGCAATTTAGCACCAAGACTAGTCAATAGGGAAAACATTGTGCTATACCGGCGTCGTGCGGTAGCCGTATTTGCGAATAAGTTCGTCAATACGCTTATCCTCGCCAAAGCGAGCTACGCCTGGAGCAAGCACGATCAGTTCGCCATCATCTGCAATAACCATGCGTGTGCGATAGATGGACTTGTTGCCGAGCCACGTGGACTTGAACTCTTCCGGGTCCAGGTACACCACAACTTTGTCAATTGGCGCATCCAAGAGCTCAAAGTTTACCTCCAGCGACAGCTCGGCAGCCTTCATGAAACACTCTTCATCGTCTCCGATAAAAATGCCTCGTGTCACGAGGTCTCCATTTTCTCTGTAATGTGAACACAAGAACCGAATCAGCAATGAGGCCTTTATCTGATAGACAGAATAACACACCCCCGTCCGATCACTGTCTGGATGTAGATGAGAGGTAACTTCTGCAGGAAGTGGGTGGAGGCATAGTTCAGGATACGGCGCAGAGGGTTGTCAGCACGTCCCATCATTCGCTCCATGCCATATACGGCGCCGATGAAGTGCGAAAAGTTGATACCCTCACTACCTCCAGTGCCAACGAAAATGTTCTTATTGAAATTGGCCATTCCCATGACCTCATGCGGGACAACTTGTCCGATAGAAAGCACCAAGTCATGGCCGCCTTCCCACAGCTAAGTAACAAACAATGCGATACCACAAAATCAGCAAATTCTTCCCATTTGCAGTAGTGACTAAACTAATGACCGACCAGTTTATTGATTTGTGCCGGCCATGGCTCGTTCACTTTGCCGTCACTGGCCTCTAGAATGAGGTCTGCAGGCACTTGGCCAATTGTCACCACGTCGTTCCTGCTCAATTTACAGACAAGATCAGCTTCACACCTACATCAGCTGTCAACTTACCGTCGACTCACCTCCAGTCATGCACACGAAAGATATCCTTGGGAATATCGCCAAACATCTACCAAAGCCCACACCACACCATGGAATCCGTCACTCAGTTCCACCAAAAATCAATCCAAAACTCTCGTTATGACGTTCACCTTGCTAATCTCATCGTCCGTCATAGCGTCATGTGTGCCCAGTGCTGGCAGCACGTCCGTCACCTTGTCGTGTAAATACTCGTATGCATACTGTGACAACACACCGGACTTTCTGCAATACAATTAGCCGCCACATCAATGCACATGATCGAATTCTCTATAATCAGCACCAATCGATACGTACGAGTGAAAGCGTGTAAAGTCCGGGGGTACAATCACTGCACGCTCAAATTTGGCCTTACGTTCCATTTCAAGCTTTTGTAGCGTCTCGTGCACGATCTCACGCAGTCGTGTATCTGACAGCTCAGTTGTCTTGGAGCCTTCAGCGAAGAGAAGCGTCATGGTGATGAGAAGGGGGAGAGTTACTATTTCGTGCTGGTGAATTACAAAGTGAGATGCAGCTGCAATGCTTGTTTCTACATTGAAAAGACCTTTTCCCAGCATTGATCTGACCCCTCGATATGCAAGGCCGCTGCCATTTCAAGCCATCGAACGCAATCTTAAACTCAATCGAGGCTTGTACAAGATATGGATCATCATTAACGTAGACTGCTACAAACTTGTGCAACTAACTACTTTGGCGCAATGTTTAAGATAATGCCACAGTGTCAGACAACGTCCCAATTGCCGGCGAATCGACATTGCTACGACTGTATGTCATGCATTACACTCATCCTTCTTAAATCTACAGACGATCTTAGCAGCATAGCAGAAGAAACACAATACTTTTTGCAGATCACTTGTCCGCGGAATTTGAATCTAATAAAGCGTTAAATCGTGGCGACCACGCTAAAAACTTGTACATTGACCATGATCTGCACATTAAGCTACGAATACGACGTGACACTGACATGGATAGAATGACAATCACTCTGGGCTTTTGCATTAAAGCTCGCATTATCTCTCTATCTGTTCCTTAAATTAAAATTTTATTCGATAAAAACAATACGTCTTTGATAAAAATGCTAAAATTTCACGCTGGAGACAGGTTTGACAGGTTTACGTATCATACATAATAAAGCATTTTCCCCCGTATTGACATACAAAAATCTAGTGCCAATGTCACCTTTAAATTTATGGACATTCGTAGCGTTCGTATTGGCGATATGCAGCACTGATGCCTTTGAACTCCGTGGTACTGTCTACCTCCCTGACTTAATGACAGAAAAGGTCGAGCCTTTTATTGTAAAACTCAATGGTGGGGAACAAACGACTTTTGTTCGTTCCGATGGTTCCTTTTTGTTTCGAGACGTGGCATTTGGTCGCTATGTCGTGGACATTCCGTCTACCAAGTTCCTGTTTAGTCAGTATAAAGTCGATGTAGGAGCTGATGGACTCATTCGTGCTCTTGAGTATAAATACGTGGGGGCTCCCAAGACTCACGTTAGTTATCCACTTGTCGTGGAGCCTGTGAAACAGCTCGAGTACTTTGAACAACGTGAAAAGTTTCATCTACTTGGATTGATTATGAATCCGTCTTTTTTGACAATTGTTGTGCCAATTGCACTGCTGTATGTACTGCCGAAACTTACAGAGGGAATGGGTGAGTCTAAAACAGAGAGAAAGAGAGAAAGAGAGAGAAGAGAAGGAAGATAGTTTTGACTAATTCATGTTGTGTGTGTTGCAGATCCAGAGGAGATGAAGAAAGCACAGGAGGAGATGGGAGCAACCGACCCATCGTCATTATTGGCAGGAATGTTGGGTGGTGGCCAGACTAATGCTGAAGACAGTGACGACGATTAACTGCGGTTTCTTGATGACGGATTCCAAGCTAAGTATGAAATACTTGTAGGATCTTGAACGCTAGATAGCTCTTCTCGTGTCTCTTTTTGCTTCTTTTTCTCTGCTGTATTAGATAAACATGGTAATGTTGGGGTTCCAGCGGCGAGTATCGACGGTGGTAGTGGTCACTTGATGGGCATCAAGTGCCAGGCCGTGCTCTGCATCCACATCTTTGATACTAGTGGCTCTAGCTCCCCACGTGTTGAGCGCTTTACCATGACGCAGCGCTGCTACCAGGTCTTCCATCTGCTCAAAGTCTCCACGCAGCGTCATTCGTACCAGGTTTTTGTCTTGACTGTCGTTGGTGGCACCGCCTTCTAGTCCCCGCTTTTGCATGGCACGGATTACAGTCTGCCGGAACATGACGTTCTGTACCTTGCCACGGACCTCGAGCCAACGCTCCATCAATTCGTTAGAATTCCTTCTCCTTTGTGGCTTTTTGTCGATTGACACTTATCATTATGATCTAACTGAAAGCAAATGTTAAAGTTACTAGGAAGTTTGCATGCGCATGACCTCCTTATAAAGAAACAAAAAGGAGCAAAGGCGCCGACAAGTGACAACCCAAACTACAGCTACGTCTAGCTACAACCGGGAATAAAGCGACGACGATCACCTGCACGCCTATGCATCTATTCTTCAGCACTCTTTTTTTTTTGTGTTTCTTCTTCTTCTCCTTCTTGTCTTCCTCTTCCTCGACAGCCTTCTTTTTCTTGTGTTTCTTCTCTTTCTTTTCCTTCTTCACCTTGGGCGTCTCCCCCTCCTCCTCAGCATCTTCAGCCTTACGCTTCTTGCTCGACACTGTCATGTCGGCATCAGCATTGTACGTCGTGCTCGTCTCCGTCTTCTTGTATTTCTTCGCTTCATTCTTAGTCTTGCCGTTGCTGTTCGGTACGCCCGAGAAACCATTCTCTAGCTGCCGCACACGAGCCTCCACCTTGGCACGATTGTCATAGCCAATTGTAGCTTCGGTGGCATCGCCCAGGGCGTCCACACGAACAGCTAACGACGTCTTCGCAGCCAGCACGCGCGAGATCTTACCCTTGTGCTTGGGTGCAGTCTGACCGATCAGCGAGGCGTGGTAGATTAGACCGTACTTGGGGGTGTCGTGCTTAGTCTTTAAAGCACGAAATAGAGCCTTCTCGGCACCAAGGATCTGTACAGTGGAAGCCGGATGCTTGGCCAGATTCATCAAACTGCCAGCATGAGCAATAAGACGGGCACCGACAAGCTCACCAACCATAACGGTAAGGTTCGGGGCAATGGCGTTCATCCGGTTCTTTAAGTAATCAAACAGCTGAGCACGGTACTCCGTTAGAGAGATAACCTGCTCACAAAGAGCAGAGATATTGGTCACATCTTCCTGTGAAATGTCCGTTCCCATGGACACCTCACACACTTCACGCATTGAAGCTTCCACATCTTCCGACAAGATGTCTGAGAAATCGAGATTCTTGACGTTCGAACGTAACCCCATCTTGAGTACACACTTGGCATACTGCAAATTGTCCGAGACAATCTTGCCCATCTCAGGAAAGTGCCAGCCAAACCACTCACGAACACGCATCGAGTACGTATTAATCTCCTTGTCCAGTTCATCAAGTAGACCAATTGCCTGTACAATCATCGTGTCTACCTTATCGGCGCTAAATTTGAGTTTATAGCGAGAAAGAGAGTGTGACAGACCAAGCGTCATGGCTTTCAAGTCGTCGTCCTCTAGACCAGTAATAAGTGTGTCCATGTTGGCGCGAATGCAGCGCATTACCTCGTTCACGGCACTATCATTGACGCACGCAATGCTGAGTTTTTCTTTAATGAGCGCACCAAGTGCCTTGTCTGAAACGGCGAGTTTATCCTTCAGACCAGCATCCACCACATTTTTCTTGAGAAACTTCTTGAGTGTCTTGCCCATCTTACTGTCTACCATGTCCGTAGCAGCAGCCACGGCCTCGGTCGTGTCTTTAAATGCATTGAAACCTTTAAGTTTCAGCACTTTGGCAGCCTTCTCAGGAGTCGAAAAGTGCTTGTAAACATCATCAACACTAGCCAACTTGGCTTCATCATGTACTTTAAAAAGCGCATGACCCGCAGCTGTCTCAAATAGAACCAACATGTTGAAGAAAGTAGCCTCAAGTGTTGGCAATATTCACGACTGATCCCGACACCACCACCACGCTGCGTGCTGTCCAGTGGCTTAAGCCTAGCAAATAGCAAGTAGACTACAATAAAGCATGCTCTCCCTCTTGAATCGAATATCGATCGATTGGCTGCAGTGCCAAACATTCCTTTTTAACCAATGCAACGACGTAAAACATTTCTAGTGAAGATCGGATTGGCTAAAATATAATATTTGGCTATCACTGGTCGTGGGGCCTCGTTCCGAGGAGCTCCTCGATGCTACAAGCTCTTCCATTTGTTGCAAAGTTCCTCTCTCCACAAGTAAGTGACCATGTCTTTTTTCCGATAGAATAGCTGTTTGTAGGACTGTTCGGTGTGCATTGACGGTGAGAGGGGCTTTTTCGGAGACTGCTAGCTGCTCTCTCACTGGCAACGTCTCTCGACTGTAATTTGTCGTAGAGCTTTGGATGACGCGTTATAGTGACGATGTTTCTTAAGACCGAGACTGTCCTGCATGACTGACGTAAACTCAATGCCACAAAGCGGAGAGTGACACTCGGAAGTGCGGTGGTACAGACGTGTTCTTAACTTTTTCCATTCCCATGTGCTTTAGTAGACTTGAAAATGGCTGACTACGACGAAGAAGAAGTGGCACGTGGCGTGACGGTGCGTGACGTGAAGCCTGCTGACTTTATTAAAGCGTACGCCGAGCATCTGAAGCGCTCCGGCAAGATTGAGCTACCTGCATGGTGGGACGTGGTCAAGACGGCTTCGTTCAAGGAGTCGTCGCCTGCCGACCCGGACTGGTACTACATTCGCGCTGCGTCTATTGCGCGTAAGGTATACTTGCGCCAATACACTGGTGTAGGCTCGCTCAAGAAGGTGTATGGTGGTGCTGCTCGCAAGGGTGTGCACCGTCAGCATTTCCAGAAGGCGTCAGGTGGTCTCATCCGCCACATTTTGCAGCAGCTGGAGGAGATGAAGGTCGTGGACAAGTGCCCTGAAGGTGTGAACAAGGGTGGTCGTAAGATCACGAGCCATGGCCAACAGGACTTGGACCGCATTGCTGGTCAGGTAGTGCGAGCTTAAGTTTGGAAGGGTTTTGCAGCCCCTAGTTAAATGGAATGAACCAGAGAGCTATTTTGCAAGAAAACTAGTTGCAACATGTATCACGCGTCGGCTTATATCAGTTTGTGTATTTGTTTCATTCGAGAATGCCGTACTTATCACAAGTATCTCCGCGCAAGTGTCTTCACACGCGCGTCAAAAACCTCGGAGTAGATTGGCGTATCGTATTTGTAGAAGGGGTTCATCAGCAGCTGAATGCATGCATAAAAAATAGAGCAATAGATCCGTCAGTATCGTTACCATAATGTGATACGGTAAGACAACCTCCCCCCCCCCTCACCTTGACGTAAAGCTCATGCACCTCGTGAAAAAATGCCTTAATAGTGTCATCGTTGCGAGTCTCGTGCAGCACAAGAAACTTGGCGCCTGAGGCAGTGACAAAGGCCGACACAAGTTGGTCATTGAATCGATCCACCACCTTGAGTGCCATGGCAGGTGTCGTCCACATGAGCTCGTCGACCAAGTCCAGCGCAGCATGCAGAACAAACTCGTCCACGTGGGCGCTTTCTTCGTGTCGCGCACGCATCTCCATCTTGTACAGGGGCTCCTTGGAACCCACAAGCACAAACATCGACATGGTTCCTATCTTTTACTTGGTATATCTACCGTTCCTAATTAATTGGATTATAGACTTTGGATAAACCCCTTTCTAGTATCGCTAGGTTATTATTATGAGTTTGAAGCTTGGTATTGTAAAGTCACTGCAGTTAAGTAAACATATCGGGAACGAAAGAAATGGCTAAACTATTACTAGAGCAGAAGGAGCCGACGGGAACGGAAGGTCACCACTAGGACGTAAGAGAGTTTTACGCTTATAATTGTGGACCATATTTACTTCGAGAGCCCGACTAGCAGCAACTGGAGTATCTACATGGCATGGGCCCGAATCATCTTAATTGTCGTGTACACTTTGACACCATGTTCAGCTCGCTAAAGAAACTTTACCGCTCCTTAGGAAACCTCCTACAAGAAGCCTATCGTTTACTACTACTAACTTTGTTCTTCAGGCATTAGACTTGCGCAGACAGTGTTCCAGCTTAGCGTGCAGATGTCGTACCTCATGCAGACCAGTTTTAGATCCTTGGCAACAGCGTCTTGCACTCTCACATTGGTCGACTTATGCGCTTCCAGACGCTTCTTTGCGTCCTCACTGCCACGGCAAGGTATTTTGTCGCGCTGCACCGCATAACGATTGCATATGGCAAAGCTCGTTGTTCTTCAGTCTACGCATCATAAAATTACGTTGCACGCACAACGTAAAAAAACATGCTTACGCGTTAGCTACAGATTATACGAAGTCAGTGATTAACTTGCTGGGCATCTTGGTCAAATAGCACCTCGTGGTTCACGCAGGAGTTTACGCCGCCAATTATCGGCTCCGTCGTAACTAATTTCACGATGTAAAAAGACGGGCTTTAATGCACAAAACGATAGCGTCAGCAACATGCCATGATGATGCCACCACAATGATCACGCATGCCCTCGACACCACCTATAACTTTGATGATGTGCGCAGCTCGAGTCTCTGCACCTGACGTAAGTTGGCAGCGTGCGGCTTAAGCTTATAGCGCGTGTGTCAAGAGCACCGTGATGCTCACGGACGTGCATCTGGCGCCGCGATTGGCGAAGAAGATCGTCTCGTATGGCAAGGTAAAAAGGAAAGGTTTTGCTTTCGTCTACGACGGTGAGAAGCGCGCGCTTGCTCGGCGCAGCGGCGGTGCCATCGCTTTTGACGTCGTAATGGACAGCAACGTGCTGTGCGTCGACGTGACAACAACGCAAGCAAGGCACGGTGCTGACGAGGCCATCATGGCGGCGCTCGAAGCAGGTGCGACCACGTACGTGGCAAGCGACGTGCAGGAAGGCACGCTGCTGCACTTTCGTTAGCGCTTTGGGCATTTAGCGTCCATTATCATTGATCGCATGGCGCGAGACCCAGCCTCAGGTATCCGACTGACGAGCAACAAGCGCATGACGTACGTCTTGTGCATAAGGGGTATCAAACGCGCAACAATTAGCCCAGGCAGGACAGCGTCACCAATGCACCGATTGACAGCGTCGGCGGTGTCATCTGCTTGGATTTGAAAGGTCCGATGGTGCCGATAGACAGACTTGGCACCAATATTTGGTTTAGTTATGTGGAGAAGTGCCAGGAGAACCGGGGCTCCTGAGGCTATTGCACAAAAGGGGGAAAAATCCAGGCCTCGCAAGGTCCGAAAGTTCAAACGAGGGTCACCAGGGACAGGGGTGCCAGTCACCTGAGATAGCTTTTCCAGTCACCGGGGACAGGATTCGGAACGTTTTTTTTACCGAACACAACGCCAGGGTTACCGCTCAAACTGGTACCACCTGACAGTCTCCGTGGCCAACATGCTTCCGATAGAGAAGACGAGACCGAGACATGACTATCATGAGGAAGAGCATATTGACTGGTTGCATCTTTTTCGTCCGAGGGGTAAATGTCTGTCGATAGTGGGTGTTTTGTAACAGGGTATCTAGTTACACGTAAACATTAAGTAATATACTTAATGTTTGGTCTAAAAGTATCCATGATTACTTTTGACCAGTCACTTGGGTGCGATACACAAATGTGATCCACCCTCGTGAATGTGATATCCATTGATGGATTCACATGAGAAGGGATGACGCTAGTTGAAGCTAGGCATCGCGACGTCTCAGAAGGACGTCATTTGCGATCTTAAATCTAGATTTAAGATCATGCGACAGGATACGCTTCTAAAGAGTCGCGTATCCGATCTAATATATATATATATATATATATATAGCCAATCAGTAGTTAAGTATATATTTAGTTATAATTAATTAAATATATCTCAGTCTTGAATTTCCTTAAACAAACACACCACGCACGAGAAGTTGAAAGACTTCTTCGTGTCGTCGGTGTTCTAAGTGTTAAGAAGTTCGTTGCACTCTCGCTTAAGCGAGAGGCAACTGGTGGTACGACTGCTTAAGCAGTCGACCAACCTCCCAACCACCCTCGCACGCGAAGGTAAGACGGTATAACCGCTTCCTCGCTTGTGCATAAGGTGTGTGCTCGTAGTACGAGGCAACTTCATAGAAGTGCCCGTCTACACTTGGTAGCACTAGTAGTCCTTCCCACGACCCGTCTCTCTGAGCGTGCGTGTGGTTGACATGGTCCTTAATATGGACTGGAGTGACTTTCCTCACCTCTCCCAACATCATAGGGAGTTGGCAGAGCATATGGCGCAGGGACTTGGTGAACAAGCCCTGGTCAATCTCTTGCATTGTCCTCCTGAGCAACATGTTGCTCTGTTGGAGCAATTTGAGTCGTTTGTGCTCGGACAGCGTAGAAACGCGTCCGAGGTAAACAGCCAAGCCACCGCTGAGTCCATCACTAAGACTCAGGATGAGCTTAGGCTTGAGCAGGCACGTAATGAGGCGCTCAACAGGACTGTTGAGACGCTCTCTGCCCGGCCTACTCAACCGAGGCCCATTCGGATGGACCCTCCGAAGTTCGATGGAACTAGCCCTCACACGATTGTTCACTGGCTATTAGCAGTGGAGCAATGTGGAGTGGCGCAGCTCATCGAAGACGACACCAGAATGGTGTTGTATGCCATGTCCAACTTGCGTGGCAAAGCGTCAGAGTGGGCATACTCTGCGCTGATGGCTAATGCTGATGCATTTCCATCATGGGCGATCTTTAAATCAAAGATTCGCGCCATGTATCAGCCGCCTAACAACGAAGTTTTGCTTATGGCGCGCTTCTTTGGAGCACGACAGGCGAAACGCTCTCTGCAAGAGTTTGTGCAGGAGATGCGTTCGCTGTCGGCTTCCATCAATGGGGAACCGATACCAGAGCGTATCAAGGTAGCCACGTTCATGAATGGACTTAGGCATGGCCCATCGCGTCAGGCCCTTTTCAGAAAGGTGCCAAAGACGATGGAGGAGGCAATTGACATTGCCTTAGTTGAGGAGCAATCCTACAACAGCGCCTCGGCGACAGCCTATTACAGGCCGTCGTCCGAGAAGTCTGATGCCACTCCTATGGAGTTAGGCAATGCAGATGTGATCTGCTACAAGTGCGGCAAGCGAGGACATATGATGGCTCGCTGCTATGCCAAGGTAGCTGCTGGTGCTAAGGCAGCCAGCAAAAGGTCTCCCAACCCGAAGGGAGGTGCGAAAAACCATCACGACGCATGGGCTCAGCACCTGCCCAAGATGGGTCGGGAAATGCGGGAGCGCAGTAGGGGCGGGATGCCCTACTGTCGCGGACTCTGAAGCTACCCCTAAGTTCAGAGTAATCGAACAAATGGGTAGCATAGTCCCTGAGGTTCCGAAAGGTCGGACCTCAACCCTTTTGGTCTATAGCGCTCGAGTACGAGGCTATGACCAAGTGATGACCCTTCTCGTGGATTCGGGTGCATCACAAAACTTTGTGAAACTCGCGGCTCTAAAAAAGAGACCGGCGAGTTATGAGTCGCTTTGCCAGGATGGCAAGCGAGAAGAGGCGATCGTTCGTTTAGCGAACGGCGCGCTCGTTAAATCGGAGAGAGTTCAAGTTGAACTCGCCTTCAGTTTCAGTGACTTCTCTTGTAAAGAGAAGTTCACAGTGCTAGGTATGGAGAGTCCGTATGACCTCATCCTAGGCATGCCTTGGTTGGCTAAACACCAACCATGGATAGACTGGCGTACACGCACAGTCGCTAGCGCTACGCAAGACACCGGAAAGGATGTGCTCTTGCGAGAGGCTTATGCGGCTGATGCTGTGTCCAACACAGTCGAGGGTGCGATGACGGTATGTCAATCGACACCAGGAACTACCCAGCTCGAAAGGAGTGGTGTAGTTGTGAGTGCACTGGCGGAAAGCCAGATGACACATATTCCTACCCAGGTCGAAAAGACTGGTGTAGTGAATGGGGCGATGACAGGTAGTCATGCGTCCAATAGTCCTGCACAGAGACGAGAGCCTGTGGCAGTTGATGGTGGGCTGACAGCAAGTCAAGCGCCACAAAAACCGGCACAGAGCCAAGAGCCTGGTGCGGTTGGAAGGAGTGCGTTAGCTGAGGTAGCAACGACACCTTCTTCCAGGTCAAAGGTCGTGGTGACTCGAAGAACGAGCACCAGACGTATTAAGACGATCAAGGGCACGTCGAAACGAGTGACCCTTGGATCAGTCTCGGTCCAAGAGGACGGACCTACGAACGAGTTGTTCGAGGCCGTCGAAGACAAAATGCCGGAGGCATCCTCAGTTGAGGTGCTCCAACTTGTCTTGGCATCTGCCGAGGAGATAGTAAATCTCTCGGAGATGACGTGGGATCTGTTCCTGTCCGAACTAAAGGAAGGAAAGATCCACGAGATAGTCGCACCAGTTACAGAAGAGAACGTGGTGGACTGTTGCTCTTCATCCACAATGAATGAGAGCGTCTTGGAGACCGACAAAAAGAATTGGTTCGCTGCTCAAGGCTGGGAAGTCCTTGAAGGACAGCCCGTTCTATGATGTTCTGTGGAAACACCGTGATGTGTTTCCAGCAGAAGTGCCGAGCCGCCTACCGGCCGATAGGGGCATCAGGCACGAAATTGACCTGGAGCCTG